CCCCGCTCCTCTCACAGCCTCACCATCTCCTTGCTCTAATTGCCACACCATATCCCTATGCCATCATCTCCTTCCTTTCACAGCCACCCCAACTATCTGCTTTCTCTGCCTCACTATCTCCTTTCTCTCACTACCATGCCGTATTTCTGTTATCACTGCCACACAGTGTTTCTGCTGTCACTGTTGCACCAACTCCCTGCTGTCACTGCCACCCCATCTCACAGCTCTTACAGCCACACCATCTGATACCTTTCACTGCCATACCATCTTCCTCTTTTCATTGCAACAACAGCGCCCTTCTCTCACTGCCACACCAACTTCCTGGTCTCACTGCCACACAATGTCCCTGCTCTCACTGCCACAATATCTCCCTGCTCTCACTACCACAACAACTCTCTGCTCTCACTGGCACACCAACTCCCCAATGTCTCTACCAGACCATCTCACTGCTCTCACTTCCACACCATTTTGCTCCTCTCACTGCCACACCAATTCTCTGCTCTCACTGCCACACCAACTCCCTGCTGTCACTGCCAGACTATCTCTCTGCTTCCTTTTTCACATCATCTTCCTACTCTCATTGCAACTCCATCTTTCTGCTCTCATTGACTCACTATCTCCCTGCTCTCACTGCCGCACCCTGCTCTTGCTCTTATTGCCACACCATGTTTCTGCTCTTGCTGCCATACTATCTTCCTGCACTCGCCGCCATGCTATCTCCCTCTTCATGTGGCTTCACCTTTATACTGCCCTTACTGCCACACAAACTATCTTCTCTATGTGCTTCACAGTGTCCCTGCTCTCACTGCAACACCAACTTCCTGCTCTCAATGCCACTCAAACTCTCTGTTGTCACTCCCACACCATTTTGCAACCACACAATCTCCCTGCACTAACTGCCACACCATTATCTGATCTCATTGCCCCTGCCCTCACTTCCATACAATCTTCCTACCCTCATGGCCACACCACCTCCTGCTCCCACTGCCTCACCACTTTATTGCTCTCACTGCCACACCAACTCCCTGTTTTTAGTGTTCCACCATCTCCCTGGTTTAACTGCCAACCATCTTCCTGCACTCACTACCACACCAACACCCTGCTTTTTTTGCCACATGATCTCCCTGCTCTCAAGCAACGCCATCTCCCTGCTCTCAATGCAACACCAAGTCCTAGCTCTCACTGCCATACCATTTCCCAGCTTCATTGCAACACGATCTCCCTGCTCTCACTGCCACACCATCTCCATGGTATTACAGCTTCACTATCTCCATGCTCTCAATGCCACACCGTCTCTTTTGGTCTCACTACCTCATCTCCCTGCTCTCATGACCACAAAATCTCCCTGTTTTCATTGCCAAACCATCTCACTGCTTTCACTGCCACACCATCTCCATCACACTGCTATCACTGCCACACCATCTCCATCTCACTGCTATCTCTGCCACACCATCTCCTTGCTCTCATTGCCATATCATCTGTCTTCTCTTACTGCCTCACCATTTGCCTCAAAAAAAGTGACAAAGCAAACAAAAAAAGAAATTGTGTGAATTTAGTTCTGCATGAAATATTTTAATACCAAAATAAAACTTAGTCTGATCAATGACTTCTTGTATTTTTAATGATACAATTAATGAAATTGAGAAAATAAGAAACAAATGAAATGAACTTTGAACAACAAAATTTATTTCAGAATCCAACCTTTAAGGATAGCTCGGTCTGATTAGTGACTTCAGGTATACTACAACATTGAGAAAAGGAACAACAAATAACAAAAATACGTCGTTCATGAAACATCATTTCAAAACATAAGTACTAAGTCTGATTAGACACTCCTGGGATTCTAAACTATACTATAAACTGACAAAAAAGAAATAAACATGCAGTGAAAATTAAGAAAAACATCATAAATCATTTTATAATCAACCTCTAATTATAAGAAATCAGTTTGATTATATATTTCTGGTATTTTGTTTTAACTATGAACGTAAGAAAAAACATACTGTGAAACAGGAGTACATGAAACATCATTATAAAACCAAACATAATTGATAATATCTGAGTCAAATCAGTCATTTCAGGTGTGAAACAAATAAAAAAACCTATCCACAATGTCTTAGAATCATCCTCAAATGATAAGAACTCAGTCTGATCAGTCTCTTGTGTTTTAAAGATACTCTGAAACTAAAGAAATAAATGGTAAGAAGTAAGCACTACTTACAGATCATTTTAAAACCAATTTTAAATAATAAAACTCAGTCTGATCAGTCACTCCTGGTATAAGTTGCTATACTATGAAAGGGAGAAAAGAAACCAATACTAATGCCTCTAAGTCAGTTCTGTTAGTTAAGGAGGATTGTGATGAGAGAGCATGTAATGTTTTTGAAGGCTCAGATGTAGTAGTGAAAACGGATGGTTTGAGACTACTTGGTTCCCCGGTTGGCTCAGAGTCCTTCATTAGTGGGTTTATTAAGCAGACTGTTGATAAGTGGATAGTGGATTTGAGTGTCTTATGTACCTTTGCTGAGTCCCAGCCTCAGGCCACATGCTGCATTCAATCATGGTTTATTTAGTCGTTGGACCTATTTTTTTCGTTCATGTGATGTCTCTCCTGATCATTTGACTGAGTTAGAAGAGATGAATGATACGGTTGAAACTGATACCGGCATTGTCAGGGAAGGATGCTATTAATGATCTCGAGAGAAACTGGTTGGCTCTTCCAATTCGCTGTGGTGGGATGGGACTGATCAATCCGTCGGCCTTTGCAAGATAGTGGTGGGCGATATATCGATATTTTATTGATACAAACGATATTTTACGGTATCGATTCATATCGGTATCAAAATTTTGAAGGAATCCGGATCGATACGTTGGCCACGCCCATTTATTATGGTTAAATAATATTTATAATGAAAATTTTAATAAGTTAATGACGTATAATACACACACGTGGATACACGTGCATGAAAACGTCGATGAAAACAGTCAATAATAAGGGGTGTGACTCCATAGGTGTGGCCTAAATATCGTATCAAAACTGTATCGATACTCCCGATATGAGCTGATATCGATCGGTATCATATCGAATCCATTTTGGCCAGTATCGCCCACCACTATTGCAAGATCTCAATATCGAGCTTCACGTGATATAACCCAGCCCCTGGTAGATTGCCTTTTGTCTGGCAATAAGGATATACCCTTTGAAGTGTTTAAGAGTCACTGTAAAGTGATTGAGGAGTATTTGAGGAAGAAGAGAAATGATTTAAAGGAAGAGAAGCAGAAAGTGAGAGACTGCCTCAGCTCTGATAAGCAGAGATTGTTGGATGTTGCATGTGAACGTGGAGCATCAGTCTGGCTATCAGCCCTTCCACTCAGTGATCATGGATTTGATTTGAATAAAGGATCATTTAGAGACTCTATCTGTATTAGGTATGGCTGGCAGTTACAGGATTTACCATCTTCGTGTGTCTGTGACTCGTCTTTCACAGTTGACCATGCTTTGTCCTGTCCAATGGGTGGTTTTCCAACATTACGTCATAATGAGCTGAGGGATGTAACTGCTTCATTGATGAGTGAGGTCTGTAGCAATGTTTCTAGGGAGCCAGCTTTACAACCTATCTCAGGGGAGTCTCACTGTTTCCACTGTGGATGGT